CTGAGTAGTCTCCTCAAAATCAGGATTCTTAAGATTTATTGGAGACTAACTTGAGTCTAAATAGCCCGAGTAATTCTCATGGTTAAGCTTTGCTTTATGAATCACGTCTGATCAAACAGGTCTACTCTCAGCCAATTAGCTGAGAAAGCCAGCGTGGGGTTTGGAGAGTTCTTAGGAAATCCACTAAAAAACGGCACACCATTCCACATTTAAATAAGAAATTGTGAAAGTTAATTAGGAATACGAGGATATTGGATTGGTGAATGACACAGAGCAAAAGGAGAGATAACACAACTGTTTAGCAGACAATTGGTCACGACGATCGGCTTTAATAGTCTCTTTGATGAGTTATAGTTGTGTGCTAAGTCTGGCACAGCTCACTAACGATGCTGGCTAAACGTCTGGGAATGTACAACGTTCACGGTTCGTCTCTGATCATTATCATGCATACTATGGACTCCGGACTAGGTGCGTTCCTCTAGGTCTACCTATCAATATGATCAAGTTGCGAAAACAATGTCTAACAACTTGTAAAATATATACAGTTCATTATCAAATTAATCAAGTGTATGCTTGACTCCCTAAATTTTTACTTATTTCAATCTCTGAGTCTGTGCTCATCTTTTGATTCTCCATTGCCCGTTTATCTTAGCTTCTTCGAGCAACTTTTCATTCTGGTCTTTCCCGTTTTTTAGGATCATTGCTTATTATCCCGTGTTTCGAACTCATTTGAATCCTGCCCCTCTTTTATTTGCTCTCAAAATTATTTGACCTTCTCATCTTTGTTATATTATGAGTCTAATAACCCTCCTATTCGCAAGTGATACCTCTACGTTGCAAAAATTTAGGAGGAAAATCTGTAACTCAACATCACTTCCATTCTCTTTTCTGTAACGATGCTTTAGAAATAACTGATTTCATTTTTGTGAGCTGTTACTCACTTGAGCGCTACTATCTTGAGACCTTGACGAAGAAAGAGGACAACTGAGGCAATGAGCTGTTTAGTGCTACCACGCGAACGAAGACCCATGATAGTATACTCCATAGGTTAAAAACACTGGCAGAATCCTTTTTGCTGATTTTGAGCAAATAATACCCTATAGGCACGGATTTAACAACATGGTCGTTTGAGAAATTTCTATTGCTTACACCCTGAGTCAACGCAGTCATTCTTTTCTTGGAAATATAACCAACTTTGCCATGTCAGATTCTAGGCTCGAAGTGGTGTCGGTTTAGTGTGCTGGCTTAAGAATGTGCTAGGAAAATGACTGCGGCGTTTTCTTATTAGCATGCTGTATGCTGCTTCGTTAGATTTTATTTTTGTTCTCGCTAACGTTTTGCCATCATTTCTAATAACAATATAACACGTAATGCCCGTTTTCTGAAGCAGGGAATTCACTTACTATGTCGTAACTGTTTTCCTCTGAAATGGGGATTAAACGGCTTGCTGTCTACGCCTTATCTAGAGGATAAACAGGTTTTACTCGGAGTTGTGAATGTCTATTTGAGCGTAATATTTTCCAGCTCTGTTTTCTTCGTCTCAAATGAATCACTGCTTACTTTTCCTCTATCATTCCACAAACATCGCTTGAATGAGAATCTTTTCTTTAGCTGAATTTCTCAAAATTTTCCGACTCATGGATTTATGAAAAATACAGGTTTTTACGTCTACTTTGCCTCGTACACTAAACTTCATTGAGTTACGTTGCAAACGTGCCAATCTGGACAACTTTTATTGAGGGAGGTACATTGGTTAACCATGTAATATTTGTTAGGACTTGATGTTACTATGATTTTATAACGGCGATTTAGATGCCTAGAACTTCATTGTATCCAGTTTAAAGCTAGCTTTTCGGCTCAGCATGAATTTCAGAGTGCTTAACTGGTCCTGACCCTATAATTTTGTTTAAATAAGGTTGTTTATAGCTTTTATTCGTTAGAAATTTCCCGCCTGTATCATCTTTGGGCAGCATCATAGACAATAGCAAAATCTATATTGTCTTTGCACTTTGCAAATACGAGTTTTTTCGAATCCTGGGCAATCCGCTAACGATTACATATATATGCCTAAGAACCGTTTAAGCTTATATTCAATCGGTATTATTTTGATCATAGATACGTAAGCACATTGCTCGCCAGACCTCTGGCGATTGGTCCTCGCTCTTCATTCTCTTGAATATTAAACACTTTTCCGTCTATTCCTTATGGCAAAGTCACACAAAAAAGTTTAAAGTAAGTTCCATTCAACTATTGACTATTGCAATTTAAGAAAATTATAATTTATATTATATAATTTTAAATATAATTAATTTCAGTGAAGGTATAAGGACTAAGATAATGTGATCGAAGTTGCCTTTCGTTGCATAGAAGTTATTTGACCTTGTTTTCTTAACTTGGTCATATTGTTGGGAAGACTTAGAGGAACGCTTCTAGTCTGGAGTACATTGTATGCATGATGATTTCCAGAGTAGGACCGTGGACGTTGTACATTCCCAGACGTTTCGCCGGCATCATCAGTGAGCATTGTCATTCTTAGCACCCCACTACAATTCGCCAAAGAGACAAATGAAGCCGATCCTTTGAGCAATTGTCTGCTAAGCATTTGTGGTATCTCTCCTTCCGCCCTGGGCTAATCGCTAATACCATACCCTCATATCACGCTGTCACTATCACGATTTTTTACCTGCTTGTTTAAATGTGATATGGTGTGCTCTTTAGAGCGGCTTTCATCAGAACTCTCCACACTCCACACCAGCTTTCTCACCCTCTTCACTCCCCTTTACTCTTGTGCTGGGACTGTTGATCAGAGTATGTCTTATTGTTACGCGTCCTCCTTTCATAGGTCTTATAAGAGTCTTTATCTTACCCCGTAGGATCTTTCTGCTATCTCCCTGGTCCAAATATTTAATTTGACCCCTGCCACTCCATCTACGCTACCCGAGACGTTATTTTCCACACTGAATCTAGGAGACTTATCTGTCGCTTAAGTGCCTGAATAATTCTCATAGTCAAGCAATTACTTCATGGACTACGCCTATGGTAAAACAGACCTACTGTCAGCCTACTAGACGGTGGGTCCATATTAAACCTAATAAAAGCAAGCGGTACCACAATATTTGTGGGTTGGCGCACAAGAGAGCTAGAGCATAGGACGTCATAGAATTGGTATTAGGATTAGAAACAGGATATACGCCGCGGAGACTAGACGTGGTCCATGAAGCAAAGGCTTGACCATGAGAATTATTCAGGGGCTTTAGCCCCAACTTAGTCCTCGAGAGACAGTGTGGGGAATAACACATCGAGTAGTACAGATAGAAGGGCAGGAACCGAGGTAAATACTTAACTCAGGTAGAGAGCAGACGGATCATACGGGGCAAGACCTATAAAAGGAGTACAGCGTAACAATAGGCCAGACTGATCAACATTCTCAGCACAACGATCAGGTGGGGTGAGAAAGCCAGTATGGAGCGTGGAGAATTCTCACGAGAACCACTCAAAAGGGCATACTATGTCACATTTAAATAAACAAGTAAAATTTGTGATAGTGAGGCGTGATACGAGGATATACTATTGGTGATTAATCCAGGGCACAAGGCGTAATACCACGATTGCTTAGCAGACAATTGGTTAAAGGACCGGCTTCACTTTTCTCTTTGACGAGTTGTAGTGTGGTGCTAGGACTGCCATACTCACTTAAGATGCAGGCGAAACCTCTGGGAATGTACTATGTCCACGGTACTACTCTGTAAATGATCAAGCAACTTATATAATTAATTTTCTTTACATAAAATCTTTAATTACTTTGTTTCACTTTATTTAGAAGCTATCTTGTATCGCTACCCATGTCTGAATATGCTGTAAGTGCATTTTCATATTTATTTCATCTCACCTTCCAATACCTAAGGTAATTTAGATGTGAAACTTTCTGGGTATCCAAGTGCTATAAATCCTGGCTTACTCAAGTAGCTTCTTTTCTTTTTATAGACAGTCTAGATTTTGAAGAAGCAATAGAGGATGAAATGCTGGAGAGCTTAAGTTTTATTTCACTTGCTATGTATCTCTTACATCATTTTTTTCCCTGAGCCTAAAATTAACTAGTCTCTGCTTTCCTACTAATGCAGTACAATGAATCACTATAAGACGTAAGGGATGGAAAGATCTTGTGAAGCTGACTTTTAGATTTCCCTAGTAAGTGAGCCGCAACTTCAGGCGAATTTGAACTTCCCTTTACATCTACTATTTCCTCTTAGGCTCTTTTATTAGTACAGACAATTTCACCATCAAAGATATGAAGAAAAACTGGGTTTCAAGAATTCCTAAATCTGATATTGTGGTATGAATTTCAATTTTAAGGGGAAAGTTGGTTGGAAGGAATTCCTGATGTGGTCTTACGGGAAACCGAAGGAGGATTGCCGCGTAGGGAAGACTGTTGAATTGTGCGAAGAAGTCCTCGGTTCACCGTCTCGCGAGCCTGATGAAACTGTGCTAAGCTTTCATTTGTACCGCCGTGACAGACATCATCAGAGCAATATTCCATACTTGACGAACTAGAGAAAAATATACCAAAACAAAGAAAAGGGCAGCCGGCTGCAACCCTAGTCGCTTTTTTTGCACGTAACATCACGATCTTAATGAGGTATCCCATGATTTGGCTGGCTAGTCCAACCTTATTCTACATGCTTGCAAATAAGTGAAGTCAACTTCTCGAACCGGAAGTGCGTTCAGTGGCAGCTGTTTCCTTACCCAAATTAATTAACGAGTGTATGATCATCTTATGTTGAATAATGTTTGGGCTTGTGCTATTGTCTATTCTGCGTATGCAATGCTCATGTCATGGCAAGTGCGATAGTCCAAGCTAGACTCGAGGCTAATCCAAACTCCTCTTGCTCAGTAACTGCTGCATCCACCCTCTCTCTTTTTTTAAGTCTATCCAACAGTCACAAATACTTGCTACTTAATCGAAGGTATGAAGACCAAGATGGCGTGATCTTTTGTTACTATTTAGCTTTCTACACTCGTTCCTTCTGTTCAGGGCGTTGATTGTTTCATTAATTTCCATAGACTAGCTAAATTTACTCTTGTAAAAGCCTGTTGGCCCAAAAAATCTGAGCCTACTGAGCATATGGCCAATGCAGGACACTCAGTAGAATAGTCCAAAACACAACGTTTTGCGGGTTACGGAGACTTTACTTCAAAGCGTGAGATTAGGGAGTATATAGAAATTAAAAACAGTTAACTTCCTTAATAGGAGGAAAGATTGTAGAAAAATAAGTAGAAACTTTTTGTGGCTGTTGGATAGACTTAAGGAAAGGGAGAGGGATGCATCAGAGCCACTGAGCAAGACAAGGAGGCTGAATTAGCCTCGAGTCTAACTGGGACAATCACACTTCCCATGACATCAGCATTGCATACGCAGAATAGACAATAGCACAAGCCCAAACATTATTCAACATAAGATGATCATACACTAGTTTATTTATTTGGGTAAGGAAAAAGCTGCCACCGAACGCACTTCCAGGCAAGAAGTTGACTCCACTCATTTGCAAGCATGTAGAGTAAGGTTGAAGTAGCCAGCCAAATTATGGGATACCTCACTAAGATCGCGATGTGACGTGTATAAAAAAGCGACTAGGCTTGCAATCGGCTGCCTTTTCCTTTGGTTTAGTATATTTTTCTCTAGTTCGTCAAGTATGGAATATTGTTCTGATGATGTCTGTCACGTCGGTACAGACGAGAGCTTAGCACAGTTTCATCAGGCTCGCAAGACGGTGAACCGAGGACTTCTTTGCACAATTCACCAGTCTTCCCTACGCGGCAATCCTCCTTCGGTTTCCGGTGAGACCACATCAGGGATTTCTTCCAACCAACTTTTACTTCTAAACT